CGCCCAGCGTCCGTGGGGAGGCTAGGCTGGGCTGAGCGACCCTGACCCCTCTCCCCGCCCCCGCAGACGAGAAGACCCTGCACGAGGCCGCCGCCGCGTTCAGGCGGGTCATGACCCGCATCAGGGACAACGAGTTCCGAGGTGCCCGCCTGCCGCGCCGCGCCGCCCGGCCACTGTGCCCCTGGCCCGGCCGGCGGGCGGGGATCTCCGGTGCCCTCTGGCGGCCGCTCCGGGCATTCGCCGTTGCATCGCTGCTTCGTGCCAAGCCCCGGCCAGTGCTGAGCCCAGTAACCTTCAGCCCCAAACGCTCAGGGGAAGCCGTCTCGGGACTTACTCCCCTCAGAAAGCCTCCCCCTTTCCTCAGCCCCCCTGGCTGTGGCTTCGAGAGGGGTAAGCCTCTGGCTTCAAGGCCCCCTGCTATTTTTTTTCCCTGGATCCCCCAACACCTGGTAGCACCCCCACTGCCTTCCTGGCTGGGGAAGCAGAGCGGTGATGTCCCAAACAGCACAGCAGACAGCTCTTGTTTCAAGCCAGTCTTTATTGGTGGTGCCAACATTGTGTGCTACAGCTCCTGCCAGCATAGTGCTAAACAGTCACCATGCACCAACTTGCTTGCTCCCTCCGTTCTCCCTGGGACTCCTGCTTGCCTCAGCTCCTGCACCCCCAAACCTCCTTTTCTTTTCCTCAGGCATTAACAAACAACATGTAACAAAACTGTAGGAGAAAGCAAGGCTGGATGTCATCTTATAGACTCATTCAGAGAGGCATGAGTTTTTGTAGACTACACCCTGCTAGCAATAATACTTAACTTGGCAATGACACCCAAGAAATGTCAACTAACATAAGTGTCACCAGGATCCAGTCACAGGGCAGTCTCTGCTGCCAGGCCCAAACTGTTGTGTTCTTCTGTGGTGAAAAGGACATCTGGATGTCTTGCTAGGAAACTATGTCAAAAACTGCTCACACAGCCCTTCCAAAAGTCTTCCCTCCAGAGCTCCAGGCCACAACTAGGTCAATTTAGCCTCTGGTAACAGGGCAATTCTCTGTTGTTAGGTTGAGGGACCACTTTGCAGGGCAAGGCTTGGATTCTGGAGAGCGGGTGAGGGTATGACATCAATTTCCTGTTGACTCTGGACCCTAATGATGGCAGCATTGTCACTGGTCTCTGTAAGGAGAGTGGAAGGGGCTAGAGAAGGGGGTTCTTCCTCTACCCCACACCAGTATGGCAGTCTGGGGTTCAAACCTGTCTGTCACCTTCCCTAGATGAGCAGCTCTTCAATGAGGTGATGTGGGGCCTCCAGGAGGTGAGAGAAACCTTCCAGAAGATCATCAACCGCTTCCAAACATTGGGTGAGACTGGTCCGCTTCACTCCTGCCCCACAACCCCCATAGGCAGTGGAAGGCTGGGGCTAATGGGCTTAGTCCCCTCACCCACTAATTTCTTGGCAGCCAGTGACAGCAGCAGCACCCAGCACTGCTTGGCATGCAGCCAGGCCAGTGCCCCACATATGCTCAGCTCCACATGGCTCTACTGCTCCAGTGCCACTGCCATGCCCCGCTGCTGCAATGCCACACCCAGTGCCCCTGCTGCATGCTCCTCTGCCGTTTTGTACAGCACCAGCGTGCGAGCCCTGCAGGAAAGAGGGGTGGGGGTCAGATGGGAGGCATGCCCTGCCCCCCCCCCCCCACAAGCAGCACAGTAGAATTATCTTTTAAGTTTTACTTAGCCCCCACAAATAATATTTTCTCCCACTGCCTATGACAACCCCTGGCCCCTGCCCCCAGGGCAGGACCAATTTCTGTCTCTTACTCACACTTTCTTTTTTTGCAGTTTATTGCCTGAACAAATGTGGTGAGTGAAAATGCAGAGAGAGGGTGCTTGAGGCAGGGAGGGGCATGTGGGATAGATTTGCAGGAGAGGAGAGTGGGCCTAGGGGACCCTGTAGGGTCAAGACCACCATAAGGAGTAAGAGAACACCCCAGCACTGCCCCCCATGCCCAGGACCCATCCTGTTCCAGGCCACCTCCCTCTACCATGCTCTGAACCCAATCACCTGGCTCTAATTCACCAAAAAAGCCAGGATGCACTCCCTTCCCACCCCTTTCTATTCTTTGATTCTCCCAAACTCTGATCTCCTTTATCCCCCAGATCCAGTTCCTTTTCCCCTGCATGGTGCCTCCAGCTGGGCTATAAACCCCTGTCTCTACAGGTCAGCTGTTGCAGCTCCTGACTGATTGCAAGACATGTAAGACTGACATCCACACCTGCAGCAAAGATGTGCACTGTGGAGGTGAGTGCAGAGGAGCCATGGGCAGAAGAAGGGGTAGGACAGATGAGTAGAGGGGGTATCACTCATAGGCACCAGGCCAGCATAACATAGACAGTCAGAAGCCAGATCCAGGGCAGGCAGGGGGCAGGATGCCTGGTAGATGGGCCCCTAGTGCTCATTGGCGCTGACTTTGGGTTTTGCTGGTGAATGCTTGCAGACATTAAAAAAAACAAACAAACCCAAAAATGGCACTTTACTTTAAACTTGGCACGTTCCCACGCCGAGCCGTGTGCATGCCCAGAAGAGGCAGCATCTTACTTCAACCCAGCTCTTCAGTGTCTGTAAAGACTGGGCAAATTAGTAGGGCTTTTTTGGTGCTTTTATTGAATAGCTGATTAGATCAGCTTTAGCTAAAAGCACCAGAAAGCCCAGCTGAAGTGCTCAGTCTTTACAGATGCTGCAGAGCCAGGTTGGAGTAATGCACTGCCTCTTCTGTTTTTTGGGTTTTTTTACCATCTGTAAGCAAGTGGGCATGGCTATTGGGTGCTGAGCACCACTGTTTCTTTTCGGTGGGTGCTTGAGCCCCAGAGCACCCATAGAGTCAGCGCCTATACTAGTGCTGATCCCGTACGTTGGGCAGATCGGAAGCTAGAGGTGGAGGAGGATGAGGACCTAATCCTGGACTGCGCCCTGACCTGGCACCATGTCAGCTATGGCATCAAGAACTACATTTTCTACCGGGTACAGTGCTCCTCATTCCTCCCTGCAGCACCCAGCTCCCTGCCAGCCTTGCCACAGCCCCTCACCCTGATCTGCAGCTCCACTGTCTTGGCAGGTGTGGGGGCACACAGAGCAGCACATTGTGTCTGGTCCAGACCCATTCCTGGTGAGAAAGGAGGTGACGGTGAATGACTCTGGGAGCTATCGCTGTGAGATGCGTGATGCCAAGAACATGCTCTGCTCTCAGATGCAATTCCAGGTCACAGGTGAAGGGGGTCCTGACAGCTGTGATTGAACATCTGCCCCAGTACCCTCCAGAATGGAGAGAAACCCAAGCACCCTGGCTCCCAGGCCCCCTGCTCTCACCCACCAGACCCTACTGCCCCTCCTAGAACTGGGATAGACCCCAGGCATCTGAGGCAGCCACCTCAGAGATCTCCCCTCTTTGCTACAGTGACACCCCTGGGGAACAACTCAGTCCTCCCTACAGTGGCCCCCTTATGGGGGCCCCTGACAGTGCCCCCCACACCATGGGTGCCAGGCGCTTTGGCCCACTGGACTGTCTGGATTGTCATCAGTAGCAGCACTGGCCTCATTCTGCTACTCCTTGCTGGCTGGTGAGTCTGGACACCAGGGTCCCTGCCCAGGCACTGCTCCCTGCCCCCAACCTGGAGAGCCTTTGGGCATCATGCATTGGGGATGGGGCCTGGGCATCGCACTTTCTCCTGGGCATTGCAGCTTCCACCTCTCTGGAAGCAGGACCTGGTGTCTGTGGCCATACCCACTTTGCTTTCTGGGCTCCATGAGGGGGAATGGGAGGAACCCTCATTTCAGGGAGGAGGGAAGAAGTGGGGCCCCCGATTTCCCTGCCCTCTCCCCCCTGACTTGCTCCCCTCCCACTGCTCCTCATGTCCCTCCCCCATCTCATGCCTCTCCCCTTTTGCAGCTTCTGTTTCTACCACTGCCAGGAGAGGGCAGTGAAGGATGATGATGATGTGGAAAGCAGATTGTTGAGGGCATGACAGCCCCACCCCTCCCTGGAGGCTTTCAGCCCCTCAGCACCAGCACCACTCCTCTGGGCTGGCTGGGGGTTGAGGAGGAACCAGCCTGAACTGTTTTCTATGTATATAACAGAGAGACTATTATTGCCAGTGCTCACTAGTCTCAGACACCTGGGTTCTCTCCTAGCTCCAGAAAGGAGTGAGGTCTGGTGGGTTACAGCAGGGGCCTGAGAGGATTGTGAAATCGTTGTGCCCCCTTCCATGCCTTTGTTTCCCATTGCCCCCCCTCCCCTTGCTTTTCCCCCACAGAATAACTCAGTGCTGAAGTAGCCCATGCAGTGAGAAGACACTTTATTGGGTGGGACAGCAGGGTTAGGGAGGTGGGGCAGCCTAATTCCCTGCCCTGCCCTGCCCTGCCCCACAGGGCCCCCAGTATGGGGTGCAGGGGAATGGCCTCCCTGACATGATGGGGAGTGAGAGGGGTCCCCCAGCTTGATTTGGATGGAAGACTCATAAACAGCTGTTCTGGGGCCCAGTATTGACTAGCGCTCAGGAGGGGAGCCTCCCTCTGTGTGGGGAGGCTGCAGGATATGGACAAGGGCTGAGCTCTCTGACTGTGAGCTTCCCTATGAGAGTGCCCTGGCGCAGGCTGTGAGCTTCCCCCCCTGCAGGGTCCGGAATCTTCTCACTGACTATAAAAACCAATTCGGTCCAAATTTTTCAGTAACCTTTGGCTACTGGAAGCTGCTGCCAAACATACACCTCATGGCTACCCCCTCCAGATCAGCTACCTTAGGGAACTGTCGTCGTTCCCCCCTCCCCTCCCCCAACCCCTAGCACAGGACTCTGCTGCCTGGAGGTGGTCCCCAGTCTGGGGCTGTCAAGAGGGTTCCAGGTTTGCTTTTGTGAGCTTCACTACAGTAGTGCCCCAGTGCAGCTGCAAGCTTTCCCTCAACAGTGCCATGAGGGGCATGTGATCTGGCAATACACATACCACTGGAGGAGTGACTGAACATTATATGGGGCAGGGGGGCAGAGGCAGGGGGTCCTGGGAGAGATATGTGTGACTCCCTAGAAAGGGTATGGGTGGGATCACTGGGGGCAGGGCAAGTTTAACAAGGAGAGAGAGGTTCAAAGGGTGGAGTGGTTTGATTTGGTATGGGGAGTCTTGCCCACAAGAGGAAGGGGGGAACCTAGGGGCCAGTGGGAAGCTAGTTGGGAAAAGGGCATAGTGTTCAAAGGGCTAATAACAAGACAGAGGGAGTCAGGCTGCCTACAGCAGACCAAAAGATGGTAGCGTCTAACCAAAATGGCACCTGCAGCAAGCACATCCTCATCCCCATATTAGCTCAAAGAATGGTGCATCTTATCCAAGATGGCTCCTAGGGTGAGCACCTCCCTCCCCTGACAAAACTAGGTCCATGACAGTACAGCCCATCCATGATGAAGTCTAGAGCTGGCGTCTCCATATCTAATAATGTCCAAAGATGGTATGGTGCATCCAAAATGGCTTCCATTGTTAGCATCTCCTTTTTCCTGCGTAGTGCATGTCAGAGCGGGTATGGCCCAAATAAAATGGCATTTCACAGTTAGCGTCTCCTCTCCCATCCTGTTCTCATATGGAGTATTAGGTCCAATTAAATGGCTTATCCCCAGTAGGATGGCACCTGAAATTAATGTCTCGCAAACACCAATGATTGGGCACATCTAGATGGCACTGAGAGCTATAATACCTATAGTCTGATTCAGCCAACGTGGTAGCAGAGGTTGGCATCACCCAAAACAAAGGTTTAACATATTCAAAATGGCATGTGGGGTTGCAGTCACCATGAAAAGCTATTTGACCTGTCTGAGATAATGGCCAAATTTGTCATTACCCCATGCAAGGATGTATTCCATCTGAAAAAGGGCCTGGTGCTGACATTCCCCTTGAGCAGTGGTTTGTTCTATTAAAGATACCATCTGCAGTTGATGCAACTCCAAAATATGATTTGATCCATGCAAAATGGTGGCTGGAGTTGACATTACCCCAAAACAGTGGGCTGCCATCTGGATGGGGTCTGAAGTCATTGTCAGTCCCAGAACAATGCCATCCCCATTTCAATGTGGCATGTGCAGCTGGCATCATCCAAAACAATAGGATCCCCCATCTCACGTGGCTGGACTTGTCATGACACGGAACGAGGTTACTCCATCCAAAGTGGGTTTGCGAATTGATGTCACCCTGACCAATAGGTTCTCCATCCCAGATAGTAGCTGGAGTTGATATAATTCCAAAGTGGCTTTTCCCATCCAAGATAGCATCTAGTATTCAGATAAAAAATAATAGCTTCCTGCATCAAAGTTGGCAGCTGGAATTAACATAACCCTGACCAATGGGTTCCCACCATCCAAGATGGCATCTAGAGTTGGCAAGACCCAAAATAACTGGCTCAGGCATTCACGATGGTGTCCAGAATTGGCATCACTGCAACTGATGGCTTCCCCCGTCCAAGATGGTGTCTGGAATTGGTGTGACCCTGGCTAATGTCCACAGCAATGGTGGCAGGAGCAGCCCCTTCCCAGTGCAGGGAGATTGTCCCCCTGGCTGGGCCTGGCAAAAACAGCTAGGGCGAGCAAGGGGTGGGCATGGTGGTCCCGTGGTTCTTACCACTGCTCCACCATGAGGTCAATCATGTGGTTAACACTCAAGTCAGGGGAGTCAAAGAAGTCAGTGGAGAAGATGCTGGCTCTGATAGGGCTGCTGGGGCCCAGGTCTGAGGCTGAGCCAGACGTCAAGGCCTCAAGCCAATCTACAGGGTCAAAGGGTGGCCGAGGCCCGGTCCCCCGCCCAGCTTCGGGTGACGGGGGCATCTCCAGGGGCTCAGGGGAGAAGACCCCACACAGGGAGTCCTGGGACGAGGATGGGGATGATGACGAGGAGGAAGATGGAGTGAGGAAGTCATAGTGGCCGGGGAAATCCAAGATGGCAGCTGTGGGTGTGCAGGCCTCACTCCCACTGCTGCTGCAACGTGGCCGCTTGGCAGGCAATGCCTCCTGTAAGCTGGTGGGTGAGGAGGCCCGCCGTGGCGATGGGGGTGCTGGGGTGGGGGCATCTGATAGAGGGGGTGATGCCGGCAACAGGTCACCTGGAGGGACATGGACAGGGGTTAGAGAGGTCTGGGAACAAAGTGGCACAGGCCCACCCCCTTCCCACATGGCACCCCCTCTCCCTGCTCCCCGTATCACCATGTCCCCTGCCCATTTGCAGAACCCCTCACACCTCTGGAGAACAGAGCTGCCTGGCCTGCTCCCTGAGGAACAGTGTGGCCTGGAGCCCTTGGCAGGGCACTGCTGTGGGGGTCCAGATCTCACCTGCACACACCAGGGGCTCCTCGAGGATGTCCTCAATCGACTCGCTTGGCACCAGCTGCAGAGAGGGAAGCAGGTGAGAACACAAGGCCCCTGCACCTGGCATGGAGATGTGGCTGCTTCTGAGATGGGGGCATTAGGGGTGGGTTATACAGGGACCCCTGACTAGGCCCTGAGGTTTGGGGTGAAGCACACTGGCAGCTGGTCACACAGGGCCCCCTGCTGTGGTGCTGAGATGGAATCACCTCGGGTGAGGCACCTCAGGAGCCATGCCATAGACCGTACCTGGGCTCTCTGGATGGCTTCCTGCAGCTCCTCCTCTAAGGAGCGGGGTGCTGGTGGGGGTCTGGCAGGGCTGGCTGTGATCTGCAGGGGCAGCTCAGGGTCAGGGCCAATGGGCTCGCATGATGGGGGGCAGAAAACCTGGAGAGGGACATCACGAGTCATTTGGAGTCCACAGATAAGTTCCTGCTCCCTCCTAAGTCACCTTGTGAGGAGCCCCCCTCCCTTGCATGGGAGCCCAGGCCCTGCCCTCAGCCCTCTCCCTTCAGCAGACCCCACCTCCACAGTCCCCACCCCTCTGCTCCAGTGCCCCCTCAGCACACTGTGCCTGCCCCTTTTGGCTCACTCCCCACCTCCTGGCCTACACCACCCTATTGCCTTGGCACATGCCACACCCACTTGGTCCTGCCCCTTAACCCAGGCCCTGCCCCTGCCATGTGCCCCACCCACTTTGCAAATGCCCCACGCCCTAGGCTCAGTCTGCACTCTCTTGAAGCAGCTCACCACAAAGGCATCCCCAGTGGGCACCATCCCAGTCTCAGTCTCAGTACCAGCATCCCCTGGCAGGGGGCAGGGGTGGGGTGGAGATCCGGACAGGGCTGAGGGGCAGGTGCCCCGGAGGCGCTGGTGCCGCTCTAGCTCCTGGCGCAGGTCATCTGCTTGTTGCTGTTCCCGGCACAGCTCACGGCGCAGGGACTCAATGAGCCGTTGCTTTTCCTGCAGTGCCCGCTCAGCCGGGGGCACCACCGCGCCCCCCTGTGGCCCTCGCACCTGGAATGGCCGCAAGCGCTCCAGCAGTGCCGGCTTTGTGCCTGACACGGGCAGCCCCCGCTGGCGCAGCTGCTGGCGGAGCTCTGACACCTGTGGGTATCAGGGGGAAGGTGAACAGCAGGTAGTGGTGCCTCTCTGGGGGTACTGTGCATCACACTGGGGCTCTGGGATGTTGAGTGCATGCTGCAATGTTCAGGGAAGCCAGCTAGGGTGGGAGTCTTGGCCGAACCTGCGGAGACTATGTTGAGGGGAGTGGGGAATGAGGCAATTTGAAGGCGCAGAGGGGCTGGAAATGGCATTTCTTCCCCAAGGGCCTGGGCAGTGTCAGGAGCACTGGGGATGGCCATATTAGGTAGTGTGGGGCATTCATGGGAAGCCATAGGGCATTGCTGGGGAGACTGGGTTGGAGACAAAGTTCTGCTCCTGATGGGAAATGGTGGTAAGTGGGGAGTGTCAGTCCTGTCCCCAATGTGTCCCCACTTCCCCTAACCCTCCCTACTCTGCCCTGTCCTTTCCAAATCCCCATCTCTCCATCCCTAAAACTGTTCTCTTCTGCCCCACCCCTTCCATGCCCCTCACTTAAGGCTGAGCCAGCCCTTTGTTCCCCAGTAGCTTGAGGGGTATGTACTGTGTCTAGTTCCCTTTAGGGGCACCCCTTCCCATGGGGAATTCTAGCTGGGAGGTGCATGAAACCCCATCCCCTTGGTTGCTCCCCATTTTGCTAGGGGCTGAAAGTTGGGGTGCAGACCCCCTGGCCCAAGAAATTCCTTCCTGTCCCCCCAGGCTGGATGCTCCCTCTGTAAGCCCCAATTCTGGGGGGGTGTTGGGTGTCACAGCAGGGATAGGGGCATTGGAGGTGAGGCCCTTGTCTCCCACCTCCCACTCACCGTCAGGTCATCCAAGTTGGCTGGAAGCAGGTCAGACTTGGGGGGTGTGGCTGGGATGGGAGGCACTGGGACAACAGTGGGAGGCATTGTGCCTGATGGTGTGGCTGGGAAACCAACCATTTGATCTGTGGAGAGGCTGTGGGGAGAGAGGGTAGGGTTTAGGAAGAACAGGAGTGGTGGAGGGGAGCTGGTGGCTGGATTAAGGGGAGCTAGGAGTACAAGGCCAGGTTTGGGGGTCCCTGACACCCAAGGGCTGCAGGACGACATTTGTGATTTAGGACAGGTATGGGGGGTCCCAACATCCAGCAGCAAGGGATCCTAGGGGGCAGCGGTGGGAGTGGGCACCTGCTGCCCGGCACTAGGTCCAATGCAGGGGGCCATGGAGCACTGGGGTGCAGGGTTGGGGTATAGGGTGTGAGGTACCTGGTGCCCAGTGGCAGGCCCATTGTGGGGGGCCCTGGGGAGGTACTCCCCTGTCGCTGGTGCAGGACCTGGAGCTGCAACACAAGTTGCTGGTGCTGAAGCAGGCGGGCACAGGCAGTGTCCAAGGTGGGTGCCCGGGCAGGCTTGGCTGCGGGCGGCACATACTGGTGGTACTTAAGTTTCTTCACCTTAGGCCGTGGCTCCTTTGCCTTTCGCGGGCGGGTGGCCCGTGATGCCTCAGAGGGCCGGGGTGGCACCTGCAGGTAGGAAGGCAGGGTCAGACCTGATCCCAGGGGCTCCTGCTTGTGAACCAGGGGGAGGAACCAAGGCTTCTGGGCTCCTAGCCCCCTACACTAACCTGCAAGACCTCACAGCTCTCCAGATCTGAGAGAGAACTCAGGTGCCCTTGCCCTGAGCCCAACCCCAGTGAGATCCCCCCAGGTCCCCACATTCTCTGCTGCTTGAACCCCCAATCCCCAATAATGCTGCTGAAACCCCCCAGCATGCACAACAATCCCCCTCCAGTCCCATCACCCACCTTGGGAAGCGCAGAGGGATTCTGGCCCAGAGGGCTGCCCCCAGGAGTCTGGGCATCAGCCTCTGAAGCTGACACCACCGTGGGCTGCTGGAGGTCCAGGACCGAGGGCAGCTCTGGCTGCAGGGACATGGGAATGGAAGTGCCATTAAGACACAAAGCAGCATTGGACCCCAGTGTCCTACTTCCCCTTCCCTGTGCTCCAGCCCCCACCACATCTCAGAGTGAACTCAGGTGTCCAGTGCTCACCCTACAGAACCACTGCCCTCCTAGAGCTGACCCAGGAGGGACCCTGCCTATTTCATGTTAAAAACTTAGATGCAATGGTGAACACATAACACCAGAGGGCAGCAAAGACCCTAGAAAGATGGGAACCTCCCCCCTTACTCCCCATCAGCAGCCCTGCAGCTCACCTGGAAAGCTGCTCCTGTGGAAGAGGATGGGGAGGAGTTGCCTGAGGTCCTGGTGGGGGAAGGGGTGAGGCTGGGGGAAGACAAGGATGATGAGCTGCTGAAGTCTTCATCAAAGGGGAAGGCCTCTGGGGCAGCAGAGCCCGGATCTGCTGAGAGGGGGCAACAGAGCAACCCTGAAGTTTCCAAGGGACATGCTTCCCCCCTTTCAGCTAGCCAGATCCCACCTTCCCCATGCCTGGGAGTCCTGGCTCCCAGCCCCCTACACTTACCCTCCACCCCCATACCCCACTCCCCTCCCTGAGCCAGGACAGAGTCCATTGCTCCCAGCTCCCCCCAACCACCACTCTATCCCCCACGTGCCAGGGGTGGAACCCAGGTATCTGGAACTCACTGGGGCAGGGCTCAGGCTCTGGCAGGGGCAGGTCCAGTGGTGCCACACAGCGCGGGTGTTTGCCCGTCCTGTTCCTGATCTCCAGCAGGGCTCTGGGGGTGTCTGTCAGGAGAGGCATAACATGATGATGATAGGGCATCAGGGGACCCCCATCAGGGGCATCACACCTACTCCTAGTTCTCCTGTATGCTGGCTAGGGGACCCAGGCATCTGAGTGGCACCTACCTTCTCTGAAGTGACCTTTGGCAGTTCCAGTGTTGTGGGGTCTGGGCTGGCCTCGTGGCTTCAGGGTCCTGTCAGCCTGTGGGGTGAGGGGCATCAGCATAAAACAGCCCCCATAGCCCAACCAGGGGTGATGCAGGGTGTGGAGGAGGAGACTGGTGGGATGCAGGGTGGGGCTGGGAGCCAGGACTCCTGGGTTCTATGCCAGTGGTGGGAGGGGAGTGGGGTCTGGTGGTTTAGAGCAGGGAGGCTGAGCCAGGACTCCTGTTCCCATCATCCTTTTCCACTGGCTCAGTTTCCCCTCTGGGATGTGGGGAGGAGGAAGATCCCAGGAAATCTCCAGGGCTTGGGGGTCCCTTCCATGGGTGTGGTAGTACTTTTACATACTGCATTACTCAGGCTGCCCTGCAGCTGCTGTGCCCCTTCCCCTCTCTTTGCATTCACCCGGCTCTGCTCTGGGGTCCCACTCAGCTCCGTGTGATTCAGGGGGGTCTTGTCCACATCTGGGGGAAAGCCAAGAGACAAAATAGTTAGAGCCTGTCCAGACCAGGTGCTCTCACACTCTGCTGCACAGGGGACCCTGGAAGCCAAGTGGGGCTGAGAACTTGAGGAGGAGGAGGATGTGATCCTGGGGTCTTTGAGGAAAGGTAGGGTGCATGGTCCCTGGTTCCCTTGGCTGGTCCCAATCCCCTCCCTTCCCTTCCCTACCCTAGGGGCTTTGCCAGCCCTTCCCACACAATAGCTTCCCCTTGGCCCCCAGCCTAAGTACCCCCACCCCTGCCTCCTTACCTGGGCGCACGTGCTGCTCTGAGAGCTGCTCTTGGGACCGGCGATGTTGCATCCTCAGCTGCAGGACTAGGGAGAGAGGAAGGTGTGGTCAGGGGGGGCTGGAGCCCATGCACCCCCACAGGTACCTTCAGGACTCTGCCTGGGGTGGGGGTGGGGGCTGGGCATGGACATCCCTTCTATTCCTGCCCCCCCTTCCTCCCTGCAGGTGTCCCGGCTGGGCCTGGCAGCTGGGGGGTGGCAAAGAGCAGGCCAGAGCTATTTTGAGAGCTGGTAACATGACCCCCCATGGGTCACCCCTCCCCCCATACACATCCCTGTAGGGCTGCCCCTGAACCCCGCAGTGCCCTGGGTGGTGGTGCTCGGGGCTGCAGGCCCGGGCCCCCATCCCTGCCTCTGGTGGGGGAGGGGGGAGAACTGGGGAACAGCCAAAAAGTGAGTTAGGACAGGAAGTGAGGGAGAAGCCTGTGTCCCTTGGGGGTGGGTTGGACAGACAGACCAATGGATGGAATCCACCCCCCCCAACCCACACCATTAACTCCTGCAGGGCTGAGGGAAATCTCCCAGTGGGAAATGCACCCAAGCCAGGGGCAGCTGAAGGGCTGAACTGGGAGGGCCCTCAAAGACCCGGGCATCCAGGCCTCCAAGCCCACTCTGCTGAGGTGTCCAGACCTGCTACAGAGAGGCCTCAGGGATTTAGGGCATCCAAGTGGAAGCGGTAGGGTGCTACTTGACTGCAGCATGAAGACCCAGGACTCTGAGGAGTGTCTGACTCTGAACTTACTGGGATGAGGCCTCAGGGACCTGGGGGCCCAGGAGGAGGGGCTGGAGCCCAGTCTGGTTGAAACAAGGCCAGGCATAAACTGCACCGGTCTCAGGGGACAGACTACCCAGGGCCCACCTCTAAGAAACACAAGGGCTTGATTCTGCCTCTCCACCCCCTTGCCGAAGCGGTGGGGCCCTGATCCCAGGTCCTAATCCACAGCCTTGCCCGCCAGGCCCCAGGGCCTGATCCTGCCTGCACTTACCAGACCGGAACTTGCTCCGGATCAGCAGGGAGCGCTCTGAGGCCAGCAGTGTCATCTTCAGGGCTCGGGAGGTGCAAAGGGGGGACGGCCTGGCTGCTGCCCTGGGCTGGGGACCCCACCACGAGACAGAGATGTGGGGTCACCGAGGGTTCTCCGGGCAGCCTTTCCCCCCTGCCACACAGAGTGACTGACCTTGAGAGATGGACCCTGGGAGATGGGGGGGACCCCAGACTGTGGCATTTGTGGGCCCCAAGCCCCACCCCCACCTCTCACATCCACTGTCCCCTGAGAGCTGGGAGCAAACCCAAGAGTCCAGGACCAGACCTGGTGCTTTAATGCAGATCACCCACTCCTCTCCCATGCTCAGTGATTCAAGTGAGTGCCTAGAGGAGTCATTGCTGGGGGAGGCTATAGATGGAGATGGATATCAGTGAATGAGGAGGCCAGAGCCTGATCTGGGAGGGATTGATTATGGGGGAGATAGATCTATTGAGCAGCAGGACATCTGGGGGCAGGCTGGGGTGCTGGGGGTTGCTGGTGGGGGGGTCTAGGGCCACTTGCAGGGGGGGGTGCTGGGGGGGCCACCTGAAAAGGGAGGGGAAGGGGGAAGGGAAGGGGGACCTGGGTTTGCCACCCACCAGCTCTCTGTGAGGTCTTCCCGGGCCCGACTGGTCTGTGGCTGCAGGACTGTCCTGTCCCAGGCTCTGTCCGTCTATCTGGCCAGCAGTGTGCTGGGGGGTCGGCCCCCTAGATCCGTGCGCCCAGGGCAGGGAGATGGGACACGATGTCAAGGAGCGGCAGCTTGGGGGCGGGGAAGCCCCCTTGCAGAGGGGGGGGAAGGGGGCGGTGACATCACTGGGGGGGGGACACAGCAGCTGGAACCACCCCACCCCCCCTATGTGTGAGAAACGCCATCTGCACTGACACCTGACACCCAGCAGGCGCGAGGAGGAACGTGCACTGTGCACCACAGCAAGAGAGAGCCCAGGAGAGTGGCACCAGCCCTGGAGTAGCCACCAGACCCCACTCACCCCAGGGCTGGGAGAAAACCCAGGAGTCCTGGCTCTCAGGCCCCACTGCTCCAACCCACCAGACCCCACTGCTTTCCCCCAGCTAGGATACAACCCAGATATCAAGACTCCCAGTCCTTGCTTTAGGAAGTAGAGGAGCTAAGCTGTTGCATGCCCCTCTCAGGACCAAATGTTACTCTGGGGTAACAACCTACTACTGCCACCACCTGATGTAGCTTTGCCTGGTCAGAAGGTGGATCTTTCTCCACTGTTCAGAGGAACCGCAGTGGCATTTCTGCGGTGTAAGAGCAGAGCATTTGGAAACACCAGTGCCTCATGTCCCAGCTTCACAGGGAGAGAGACTCCATTGGTCTGAGCACTGCTCAGGCCCCGAAGCACTGGGATCGGAACAGGCCTGAGTGGCACTGAGGCCCAGGAGGAGCCATGCCCTGCATGCCGTGTGCCCTCTGCCCTTTGCAGAAGGCTGCAGACAGGCGCAGGGGGCGGGGCCCCACGACAGGTGGCACCTGTTCCCAGCCGTCGGGGCCAGCCCGGATTTCACTGACGCGGCGGATCATGTTCATATGTGAGTATTTAAAGCCGCCTGCTGCCTGCCCTACCCCCACCTCCGGCCTGAGAGCCCTGGATCCCCCACCCCTGCACCCCATCTCCAGCCAACTGCATAGGCACGTGATATGACAAAGGCCCAGTTGGACCATAGGCAGAGAACTGGGCAGTGGGGCTGGGGAGAGTGTGTGTGTGTGTGTGTGTGTGTGTGTGTGTGTGCGCGTGTGTGTGTGTGTGTGTGTGAGACAGAGAGTGCAAGTGAGAGAGCAGCACTGCCCCCTGCTGAGATGGTATATGAAAGCAGTGCTGCCTCCCCTGATCCAGAGCTAGTGTGCAAGAAAGCACCATGTCCTCTATTGACTCTGTGTGTGTGTGTGTGTAGTGGGCACATGTACAGCATTGCCTCCTGCATGTGGTGTATTCCAGGGAGTGCTCTTGGGTTCAGTTCCACGTGCACCCAAGCCAGAACCAGTTGCTCCCCACACCCAGTGAGTGGGGTCTGTCCCCCAGGCAGAGGTGACCCATGGCAGCCAGAGCCATGGGTGGGCATAGGCCCAGATGCTGCCTGGCAGCAGTGCCTGGGCTCCCCACTGGCCATGACCTCATCAGTCTTCCCCAGCTCCAGTTTCAAGATTAACATGTGAGGGGCTGGGCCTGACGCCATTGATAAATATAGACTGGGCACAAGGGCACAGCCTACAGCACACACACCCCCAGCACACCAGCAGGACCCAGGCGTCTGGGTTCCTGACCCTCCTCAATCTCAGCCACCAGACCCCACTCCCCTCCCAGAGCCAGATAAAATCCAGAATCCTGG